TGAATGAAAATATATAATTGTGCCAATTTTCATCTTCATTGCTGTAAATATGACTGCACAGGACCCCAAAATATACATTTTTGGGTTGACTTTTGACACCATAAAATCCTTTAAAAGGCCTAAATCAAAATATGAAAAGCATGTCTGGGTGTATTGGATCAAGGTATAACCCTACCAAGTTTCAAGTCAATCCACCATGAAATGAAGGAATGGTAGTCAATTGGAAAGTGTTTGGAAGATGAAAGAATGAAAAAGAGAAACAACAGAAGAAAACAGTATGTTTCTCTGTGGAGACAATTAAAAGTTTGTTTGTTTGCTTTTGAATTTCAAGCAAAGCTACACGAGGGCTATCTGCACTAGCCATCCCTAATTTTGCAGTGTAAGACTAGAGGGAAGGCAGCTAGTCATCACCACCCACCGCCAACTCTTGGGCTACTCTTTTACCAACGAATAGTGGGATTGACCGTCACATTATAACACCCCCACGAATGAAAGGGCAAGTATGTTTGGTGGAACGGGGATTCGAACCCACGACCCACAGATTGCGAGTCGAGTGCCTTAACCACCGGGCCAAATTAAAAGTTATCAAATGTTTAAGCTATTTAGTTTATACAAAAATTAGCATTTGGTCATTGTCTATGTTCATTTTTGGCTAACACATTTGTTACATCATATGTATGTATGCAACTCAGATAAAATTTTACACGTTAAGCCTATTCTAACAAAAAAATCTCTCATGTACCTGAAGTTTAAAAACATTCTTTATCCATACACACAAGAACATTGTTGAAAAATTATTTCCATGGAAACTTTGTAGATTTCGTGCACAGATTTATTTAATTATGGTAAAACTACTGACATACAGATATAAAGCACGAATTTCATTGTTGTTTTTTCTATCCATGCAGACAGCCAGTTAAGCCTGAAATTTTTACTATTTTACATACAAAGGAAATCCAAAATTGTACATTATTTATCGTTCTAATATATTTTTAAAGTGGATTCTAAAAGTAAAGTCCAAATTTTAAAATATTTTTTAAAGAAAGACTTGCTAGTATAGATACATAAGAACATGTGAGAGTTTGTTTTAGAGCAAAGCCACATTAGGCTATCTGCTGTGTCCACTGCAAGGAATTGAACCACAGATCTTAGCACTGTAAGTCTGTAAGCTTACCACTGTCCCACCAGGGAACAAGAATATCTGGTTAACACAGTTCAAACGAACAGAATAACTAGTACACTTAATTCTATGCCGTATTCCAAAATAATACTTCTAGGAGTCGAAGATTGTTGCACATTTAACATGATAGTTTTTCTATTTCAAAGCTTCTTAAAAATGAAATTATAAAATTGTGAGTTAAATACCAGTCTTTCTGAAAGCTGAATTTACAAATAACTTACTATTTTCAACTAGTAGGTGTTACAGGTAATTTGATGATAATGTAGCTTTCACACAAAATGTTTGTTCCATTTAAAAGCTTTATTCGTTTTTCACCTTTTTTTCTACAAATGCCAGTAACTTTTTCTCCTTTTGGAAAATTTTGTATTCCTAACTTGAAAACAACAGTTCTTACTTTTTTGCATTGATCTCACTGCCATCTTTACTCCAAAACTCTCAGTAAATAAACACAAATAAACCATTTTAAAATAACAGCAAAAGCTTTAAAACTCGATAACTATAGTTTCAGTTGTTGTTTTTTTAATCTAATATCAGAAATTATTCAAGTATTAGTGAGTTTCTCTTTTGTTTAGATTGAAACAATGAAAATATTTTACAAACAGTTTTTGAACCAATGTATTTAGAAAATGTGCCTGTAAGATAACAATAATAAATATATATAGGAAGGTTTTGTGTTTGTTTTGAATTTTGCGCAAAGCTACACGAGAGCTATCTGCGCTAGCCGTCCCTAATTTAGCAGTGTAAGACTAGAGGGAAGGCAGCTAGTCATCACCACCCACCGCCAACTCTTGGGCTACTCTTTTACCAATGAATAGTGGGATTGACCATCACATTATAACACCCCCACAACTGAAAGGGCGAGCATGTTTGGTGGAACGGGTATTCGAACCCACGACCTACAGATTGAGAGTCGAGCGCCCTAACCACCTGGCAATGCCGGGCCTTGCATTAAGTAGGCATCACTTATAATTACAGTCTACAAAGTTTTAGATACGTCCTTCTAGTCCCCCCCCCCTGCATACTCTTTTGTATATGTATTGTCATATTAACATGAATGTTGCTAACAGTTATAATTGTTACTGTACTGTAACACAATAACTATCTTAATATGGTCGCTCAAAATTTCTCAACTGTTTCTAACATTGTCATGTAGCTAAGTCAGAAAAATATATACTGTACTTGCCAGTGTGTGACAACCCCGGATTTGTTCAGCAAATTAAGTGTATTTCTTTGAGGTTCAGTGTATAGGACGACCTCTATTAACAAGCAAGTCTAGGATGTTACTTTTGTAAAGATATTCTAAGAAGTTCTTTTTAAAATGTGCTAACCTGTGCTTTGGGGTAATTAATACAACCATAAGTGTTTTTTCATGCTCTTCAAACGCTACAGACAGCTCAATAAAGAATAACTTAAGTCACAAACATGTAAAAAAAGAATTTTACAAAGTTTTCATCACAGTTGAATTCCTTTTCTATTACAAAAATACTAAACCTTACGATATAATGATCTACTATACAAACATGTTTACAAAATTAGCGTATGTTAAGAAAGTAACTTATTTTTTATATAATATCAGCAATATTCTAGTACGACGGATGAGATCAATACATTTCAAATCAAAAATGTCCTGATTAATTGTAACTAGTACACGAGACAAATAATTTCTAGTTATGGAGAATCAAGACAAATGATACAATTACAAATATGTTATTGTACTCCAGTAGGTGGCATTATGTCAACACACATATTAAAAAAAAATGCAAAACGTTAAAGGAACAACGTAGTTTTGGTTAAATATGCTATTAACTGGAGAGTTCTTACTGGAACTCTATCTTTGAACCTGTGTATAAGACGATGGGTAAATCAGGCATTGTCTTGTATCGGCAAATATGGTAGAAAAAATTGCCAAAATTGACATATGATACACACTGCCATAAAGTAAGACTTTTATTACAATTAAGCAACAAAACATTTATTTTTACACAAGATCATACTTAAGTGTTTGGAGATTTTTTGTTAGCTAATTAGTTTCAAATTTTGACAGACCGAGTCTGTACTAAAAAATGAAGGGATACAATCAAATTACATTTAAACACACTTAAGAAACTTAACATACAAAAACATGTGTTACTGGAAGTAAGGTGGAAATATCCATTAGAAATACATGGTCAACTTCAGTAATAAAATTTTTTTATGATAAACCAGAATTATCTGCTATAACTTCTTTAATTTAAGAAAAAAAATGGACAACTGAGGTTTGTTTCTGATTATTTACAAAAATGCACACACACATAAAATAACAAATCAAATCTATCTTAACATGTGGTATACAGGGTTATTTTGTTATCTTTAGGTCTAGAATGTTAAGGATATAATAGAGCAGAATTATATAAGAATAAGAAAAACAACATGATAATTTAAAAAAAAGACTTAGAACTGTATCAAATCACCAACTCGTGTACCACTGTGTATGAATGCCAAATTACAAGTTTTTTGTTTTCTTTTAAAAATATTTACATCACTGGGAAAATTAATTTAAAAATGTATCTGTGACCATGACCTTCTTCCTTCTGAAGTTTGTTAGTTTACAATATTCATTGCAAACTAATGGTAAAATCCCCATGATATAAACAGAGCCTGTCTATAACTTTATACAAGTTTTCATAAAACAACAAACATTATTCAAAATATCCACATGTTACATAAACGAAAATAAATACTGATTAATATCTGTATAATGATGATGTATGGCAACACAATAAATTCATTGACTGTAAGAAACAATTAAAATGCATGTATTATCCTCACTTCACTGTCTTTGGTCACTTGAATGAATTTGAAAATAATAATTTAAAGTAAAAAAAAAACACATGACTTTGTTTGGGATAAAGGAAATTATATAACAGTAAAGTGGGGCTTATTAGGCAATTTTAATTGTTTCTTAGAAAAATACTATGGCTTTGGAACACTGTAACATCTAGTTTTTTTTATAAATTAATGACTGAACCTTTTGGAAACATGATTAAGATGAGATAAAATGTTAAACTAAATGTTTTTTTTCAATCACACTTTAATCAGAACATATACCATCTCAAGCCACTGTAGCTATAGTAAACCTTCAGCTCTCCAGATTTCCCTGGCTACAAGCTAAAGTGTTAAATATGTAAACCTATTAACACAATACTAAACTGTGGCACATTCTTCTGCATTTCCTATTGGAGTCTCTGCAAAGTTGGTTAGAAACATTTTAATATAAAATGTCCCAAACAATTTGAAAAGTTTCAGTTTATAGAATATGTAAAGATATTAGACCTAGAGGATATTACATATGTGAAATGACAGAAGCTAAAAATAATTATTTGCCATAAAGGTAGTTAATAGCTTACTGCTTGTATCTCGAAACTACAGTCCATTTACGTTTTACATTTCCCAGTATCTTTTCTATTTTTGTCTTCAATGTTTCTATGAGAACATACACATACAAGATTCAAATGATATTTTTTAACAGTCTGCGAGTTTACCGAGATCAAAACAATTGTCTCCATTGCTTTAATCAACTTTTTTCATAAGGCTTGACTTATGTTTTGTATTTAACAGTCTTGCCTAGTTCATCACAAAAAACATTATTCCATAGTTGAAATACTAAGAAATTACACGATACACACTTACAGTTTAACCACGGTTAAAAAGTAACTGTACAGCTATTCTAAGTGGGTCAGCATAAAGAAATTACACAATACACTTACAGATTAACCACGGCATGCTGACCCACTTAGAATAGCTGTACAGTTACTTTTTAAATTGTGTAATTTCTTAAACACTTACAGATTAACCACGCTTAAAAAGTAACTGTACAGTTATTCTAAGCGGGTCAGCAAAACTAGTAAACGAGCCTTCTTACAAAATACTAACATCCACAAAATATGCACTTCCAACAGTTAGAAAATAATCTAGATATCGTAAGGTATTACTGGTACCAGTCACTGAAACGTGTGGTACTTACTTAATGATTCTTTCTTATTAAAATGTGGTATCAAACATATTTAGCCTTATTTTCAATAACTTTCAACATGGGACCACCCCTTTAGGTGATAGAATATTTTCAATTAAGCAGAAAATGAGCTTTATATACATGTGGGAGTTATTTTTGTTACATTATTTCACCTTCTCTTGGAAGAAGTATTTCTGTGTTGAGTTGACTTTGTGTAAGGTTTATACCGTTTATCTTGAACACTATTATCTCGAAGAGTTCTAGTTGAAGAACCAATAAGTGAGTTTGAAACTAAGCAGTTCTCCAGCTCCAGCTCTTTCTCCCTTTCCATGGATTTTAATTTGGCTTCTATAGCACTGATTTGATTTTTCACGCTGAAAGATCAAAGCATGTGTTCAAGATCCATAAACAGATATGGTGGAAGTTATGTTTCCAAACCTAAAGTAATTTTCACAAGTCTTAAGCAAAGAGAATTATTTACACACAAAGTAACGACTGAATTTTACAAGTTAACTCTTTCACCACCATGTTTACAGATAAACAACTCTCTTAGTGCTAGAGTAATGTTTATTTTTCAGTCAGTCATGATGTTCTCCCCATTTCTGAGGGTTGACACCCATGATTCTTTATTCTTCACTGCCTTCACTAACTTTTGTAATTCAAGGTTCTCATCTTCAATGCATTCTCTAATGTCGAACCAAGCATGTCTCTCTCATTCTTCTTCCTTTCATTTTACAAATCAGAATCTTTAACAAACTTCCCACAGATGTAATTACGTGCCCAAAGTAGTGCGCCTTCTGTTGCCTATATATATATTTGTTCAGGTGTTTTCTTTGCACATTTCAAAACCTTCTCATTAATTTTTCTTTCTATGTAGCTGATTTTCACCATTTTCAACTTTCATTTTGTTTCTGCAGACAGCATCCACTTTCCATCCCATAAAATAGGACTGATCATATGTAATGTTTCAGTAGCTTTTTCTTCAGTTCTAGTTTAAAATCCCTCTTTCAGATCGAAGAAAACAATCCATCGGTTTGTCTCTATTTACACACTTGCCATCACTGCTAACATTTATCCATAAATAAGTAAACTCTTCTACTTGTTCTGATACTTTACCTTCTACTTTGATGAATATTCTGGGAGACTCCTCAGATCGTAAAATTACTGCTGCTTTTACTTTGATGAATATTCTGGGAGACTCCTCAGATGAATCTGAGGAAGATTTTACAGTTACTTGAGAAGCTTTGTTGATCAAAGAATAAACTGAGGACTCAGAATAAATGTTAACATAACGAAGGCAGCAGTAATTTTACGATTTGAGGAGTCTCCCAGAATATTCATCAAAGTAAAGGCAGCAGTAATTTTATGATCTGAGGAGTCTCCCAGAATATTCATCAAAGTAAAGGCAGGCAGTAATTTTATGACTCTTGAGTGTGTTATCATCAGCATATTTTTTATATTACAGATACTGTTTTTCTTAACCTTGATCTAAGAAGTTTAGTATCAATTATCTCTTTCATTAAACTCTCTGCATACAAATTATATAATGTTGGGACAACACAAATCCACATCATATGCCTCTCTTACCTGAAAACCAACTGCTCAGTTCTCCATCAGTTTGAACTGCTGCTTCCTGACTTTAGAATTTAAATATCTAATTGATCTACCCAAATCTGCTGTAAGGTCTCCATGGTTAACACAGTCAACAGCTTTTATCAAAGTACATGAAATGTAAATAAATACTATTTGCTCTTCTATAGTTCTTTCACTTAACATCCCAAGTCCAAATATACTCCCTTGTGTACCCTAACTTTAGGCACTTGTTGATAAACGTCTGTATCTTGTTGGTGATGGTGTTTGTAACTCGCCATGTCTCGGGCCCATCATGGATCTAAACATCAGGTGGCCAGAGAAGATCTCAAACACAGAGCTATGGAAAAGGACCAACCAGAATCCAGTCAGCCAAGACATCAGGAAAAGAAAATGGGGCTGGATCGGACACACACTGCGAAAACCAGTTGACAACGTTACAAGGCAGGCCTTGGACTGGAACCCACAAGGGAAAAGCTGGGAGGCCAAAACAGATGTGGAGGAGATCAGTCGGGAGTGAGGCGAAGGCCGCCGGAATGGCGTGGACCCAGCTGAGGAGAACAGCCCAGAACAGAGTCCATTGGCGAGGTGTTGTTGCGGCCCTATGCTCCACTGGGAGTCTACAGGATTAAGTAAGTCAAGTACTCTAACTTATTCTGGAATCATTTTGGTTTTCTGATAAGGTTTTTCATATTTATTTTTATATACACAATAAAAAACACAAAGTGAAACATTTCAATATCGCTCGAAACTGGTGATCTTTAGGAAATATGAAGGTAAAAACCCTTTTTTTAAAAAATTCTAATCTCACGACAGTGCTCTGGAGGAGAATACACACGTGACTATGGCAGTGAAAGAGTTAACACCACAAAAACCCATCTATTTGAATTTTATGGTAGTAATTAGTAAAAGAAATTTCTGTCTTTAGAAATACAGCAATGAGGAATATTTAAAATTTTAAGAAAATCAATGCACAAGCTAAGCAAAAACAAAAAAAAGTTTGTTTTTGGTTACACAATTATATAACATGTTATGGCCTAAGTTATGCAAATTTTTATATTTTACACGAATGAAAATCTTTGATTGCAACCACATACACATAATACACACATTCCTTAAACAGATCCTTCTAAGCAGGAAAGTATAAGAAAGTTAAAACGAACACCTATTTAACAAATCCTACTGTGTCTAGCATTTTCTTAAAGTAAAATAAGAAACACCATCAAATATGATTATCATTTTAAATTCCTAAACTAAATATCTTATTCATTAGGCATATTTCCAATTGATGTTGGATCTAAGGAGACAAATATATAAACCAAGAACAATTTAAAGAAAAATATATAAATTTAAGCTTTTAAGTAAAAAAAAAACAATTTAGAACTACAGAATCTTCTTTAATAAATTTAATTAAACAGTTTCTTCCTTCCTCAAATAACAGAAATTTCCTTCCAAAGAAAGCAAAAAACGGTCATATTTTGTTTCTTAGACGTTAAATTTCTTATTGAAACCTTTCGATGAAAGATCACTAACGACATGCTACGAAAATGTTTTTTTTCTTGATTGTGATTTTTTTTGTGAGATTCACCTTTTAGTTTTTTTTGCCTCTTCCTTCAAAGAACCAGGAAGGTGAACAGGTGGTTTTGGAAGAGCAGAAACTTCATAGAGCTGTAAAGGAAGATTAAGCACGGTTATATTACATACAGAAGCAAGTTTCTTTAGATGATTACTGCTAAGCTGCTGAAAAAAAACTTAACACCATACACATCTAGAAGACAGAATATTTTGGTTTCTTTTCAATAAGCTACCGCAACACTGAAATTTTTTAGGTTTTGGTTTTCATGTCAAATTCCTAAGTGCTTTAGTAATTATGACTTGCAAGCATAAAAACACCACAGTATTAAATGGCTATGTGATTTATAACTAGAGTGAAATCTCTTTAACCATAAAGCACCTGTAATGAAGTTATTCTTCTGGATTATCGAGGTAATCAGATAGTGAAATCAGTTACTTTGAAAGCAACTGACACTCAATTAATAGCATGCATTATTGATTGATAAATATAAGAATGCAAAATACTAAGGTTGGCATGCAACTAGTAGAAAAAACAAACAACTATATGTACATTAAACTTAATAGTTTATTATTGTATATGTCTTCAATAATTATTAAAATTTCATAAGCAATGTAGCATATTTTGTCACTATTTTCACATAAATTATCATTTTGATTTACGTACAGAATATAAAATACATAGTATTGCCTCCTCGTGCAAAAACAAACATCACATTTTAATGAAGCTGATATTTCAATACGTCTTTGATTTAGAGCACTGTGATTTGATATTACTGTAGAATAAATCACTCTGTTGACCTCTCGACATTTGTAACAGTTCCTTCATAGGTCCCTGCTGTGAAGATCTTGCTCAGAAAAATTGTCATAAACTGGTAACCATTGCAAGTGAAGGTGGTTCACAGAAAAAAAACTGTTGTAAATCAGTACATATTGTTAGTGCAGGTATTTTGTGGTTAGTCATTATCACCTCATTTTTCTTTTATAATCAACCCCAGGCATGTTCAGATTACTGAATCATTTAAGCATAACAAATGTATGTTTGTTATAAGAAATAGCTATTGTGATTTATAAAACAAATATTTTCTGTTGTGACAACTTATCAATATGAAGAAATACCTAGATTACAAGTAATTCACATTGTTGATATCTGGACTAATGAGGTTTCACTATATATATATGTGTGTTTTACATTTGTTAGTGTCGGTATTCCTAAAAATAGTAATTTTTCAATATCTTCTTCCATATTGTTTAACTAAACATATCACTACATGTGTATGTCTATCATATTTTTAAAAACAAATCTTTAAAAATCAAACAATAGTGTTACATAAGCCACTAATCTAATTATGTGTGTAACAACAGTTACAGAAACCACTAATCTAATTGTGTATATAACGACAGTCATAGAAACCACTAATCTGATTGTGTGTATACAGTCATAGAAACCACTAATCTGATTGTGTGTATAACAGTCACAGAAACCACTAATCTAACTGTGTGTAACAACAGTTACAGAAACCACTAATCTAATTGTGTGTGTACCAACAGTTACAGATACCACTAATCTAATTGTGTGTGTAACAACAGTTACAGAAACCACTAATCTAATTGTGTGTGTAACAGTCACAGAAACCACTAATCTTATTGTGTATAACAGTCACAGAAACCACTAATCTAATTATGTGTATAACAGTCACAGAAACCACTAATCTGATTGTGTATAACAGTCACAGAAACCACTAATCTAATTGTGTATAACAGTCACAGAAACCACTAATCTAATTGTGTGTATAACAGTCACAGCAACCACTAATCTGATTGTGTATAACAGTTACAGAAACCACTAATCTAATTGTGTATAACAGTCACAGAAACCACTAATCTGATTGTGTATAACAGTTACAGAAACCACTAATCTAATTGTGTGTATAACAGTCACAGCAACCACTAATCTGATTGTGTATAACAGTCACAGAAACCACTAATCTGATTGTGTATAACAGTTACAGAAACCACTAATCTAATT